AAAGAGTGCAACACAAAGCAGGGGTCTGTGAACAGCCCCCTCTTTCCATTAAGTACCACCATCATATCCCTCATAGGAAAGGGCGGGACAAACCGGAGCACAGAACAAGCATCATCCAGGAAATGACTCAATGGGAGAAGGATCCTGAGTGTCAGCTCCTTCCTTCTCACCCTAATTCAGTCAGTAATCCTTCTCCTCTTATAATGGTTTCCTGTGTTCCAGCTGCTTGGACCCCACTGAGTCACTGCTCATCTCCAGGTCACTTATATCAGGTTTTTACCTCAAGAAGTGGAGGCCAGCTGCTGCCCAGAAAACATGGTCCTGGTGTATTCCTGACCACTCACTTTCTTGAAATGTGGAGGAGCAAGTTACAGGATGAAGAAAAAAGCAATAAAACAATAAAGAATGTTGCTAGCAAAGGTTAAAATTCAGAGTTAATGCTCTAGAAAAAGAGCCTCATAGAAGCATGGAACAGGGTATCACCAGAATACAGCAAGGGCTTCAGAAATTCCACTAAGCTACTGTGACCCAATCCTATCCCTTTACCTCTGTCAATGCACAATTTCTTGATAGCTTGATTCAAATTTGAGATTTCCCTTAGGTGTGAACACATAAGATAGCACAAGTCATGTTCATATTCAGAACTACACAGAAATACTCCAGTAAGATAGCAGCTGGAGCTTGCAGTGCCAGAATAAAATATTATCTGCATGACACTGAGGAACAACTTACTGCCTGATCTTGTCATTCCTGGGTCCAAATCTTGGTCCAGAAGGTCCTCTCCTGCAGGCAGAAGAGAGCAATCAGGATGGAAGATACAATGAAAACATGTTTTTTAAACAGACTCTGAAGATATGCAAGAGACAATCAGCACCCTTTGGACAGAGGATTGTTCTCATACCTCCTAAGAGCTCCTCCCATGTCTTACAATATGTGGGACACTCCACTCTTATAAAGGTCACACCTATTAAGTCTTAACTCATGCTCGATGCCAGGGTTCTGGGAGATCATCCCAAGCCCCCACCTACGTGGCAGGGAGCAGCTTTTGGTATTTGACACCTTCAGTCTCAGAGCCATAGGCAGTTAAGACATCACATGTCCTGCAGCAGCCATTCAGAAACTCACAAGAAAAAGTCTTCCTCTTCATCTGAATCTTCCTCCAACAGGTTCCTCTGCAAATACATGAAAAAAAAAAACAAAACAAAACACCTTGTTAATAAACAACCACCGTTTCACACAAATTTCCAGCCTTTAGGCATAATCAGCATCCTCTGACTGCAGGTTACACACAAGCCCTCCTTTGGAGAGGACAGATGGCACTTTTTAGGTGTCTGGAGTCATGCTGTTCCCCTCTGCTTGTGACCAAGGACTGAGCTGGATGCCTCTATGCTGCTATTATCACATCAGTGGTGTTTGCTACCTCTGTAAAGCACTCAAAGACCAATGCACAGCTCTGCAGCTCTGACTAGAGACGACTCACACCTCTGCCACCGAGCCAGACCGGATCTCTACCAACTGCCACTTGCCTGCAAACATTCAGATCCCAATTCTAGAGATCAGTACAACTCCCTAGGATGCAGAAGCAACCAGTGCATCAGCAGGGTGAACCCTGCCTTGGAAAGCAGCAGGCAGAGCCCCTGAGCAGGCCAGGTGTGGAAGGGAGGCCCTCTCTGCTCAAAAGATGATCCCCAACACTGCACTTGGTCAACAGCAGCTGCTGAAAAGACATCAGCATCACCTACAGCCACCCTGGGGTGTCCCATCCACATGGGAAGTCAGACCCGTTCCCGATCTGAAGATGTGGTTTCTCCAGCCATCTGATGGCAGCAGGCATAAGAAGGGACAACTGAAAGGAAACACACCAGGCTTGTCTGGAGGGGGTGGCCCCTCCATACCCCCAACTCGCATTAAGGCTACGGTCAGGCTGGAAAGCAGAGCTGGCCAGAACCTCCTCCATTTCACACCAAAGGGCTCCTTCTAGGCTCAAATCTGCTGTTCCACTACACCCCACCAGATGATCCAAAGGTTGATTTTTAAGAGCAACCCTACAATCCCACTGAAGTCTGAAAGTTTTGGACAAAGACACTATTAGAATTTATTTCTCATACCTGGGCAGCACAAGTTTTTCAAAATGAGCTAAAGTCTCACAGTAAAATCTACGTAGGATGAAAAATAATCAAGGAGAAATGTCACACTAAACATGTGGGCCAAGGAACACAACAGATGGTCCTTATGCTACCAATGGCTGCTGCTTCCCCTGTGCATAAATTCAGGCTCCCACCTGCAAGCGCAGTGCTCTTATTTTTGATGAGATGTAGGACCTCCATCCTTGTCACATTTGCTCAATCCACTTAAGCAATCCATGAGACCATGCAACAATTTCAGTCATCACCTCCCTCAAGGGATGAGCAAATTGCTCTTGACAGCACAGGATCCTCCTCACTGACAGCTATCGTAAGCTGCAGCAATATTTTAGACTGCAGTGTGAGCTTAGTTTTAGCACAGTATGACCCCAGGACAAACACATCAGGTTAAATTCACTTTGTCTGAAACAGGCAACTGCATCACTTTGACCAGTATTTCAAAGCCTGAAATGTCAGGGGACCTTGGCAACAGGAACAGAATTCAGCTGTAAAGCACAGGGTAACTTCACACGAGTCCCTCAGCCAGCTGTGAGGGGAGCAGGGTCACAACGTGCCCAAGCCAGGCTCCGTGGAGAGGCAGGAGGGACTGCAGGACAGCAGGATCTCACAGCCACAGAGGCAGCTTAAAGCAACTGGAACAGGTCCTTCAAACAGCTGTATCTCCTAACAGGATTTGTTTTAAAATACATAGATCAGGTTTGCTGCATGGAGAGTCCCCTCACTAACTCGGTGCTGTTGTCGACAGCAATATTGGCTCCTGGGGCCGCACTGAGACTGAAGGCTGCAGCACTGGGAATCCCTGGGGCAAAGGAACCGAGCCTTACCTTGCACCCGCTAACGGCACTGGGCCGTGTCAGGGGGTCTTGGGGTCCCCGGGGCACAATAACCCCCGCTGCCCGAGGTGGGCAGCCTACATCTGGCACCCCAACGCAAGTAACATCCCGCTACGGCGCCGTTACGGCCACCAGCACCGATGTCCCGCCCCCGCCGGCAACTCACCCGCTCGCTCTTCACCGACCCCGTCACCTCGTCGTCATTCAGGTGCCGCTTGAATTTCGGAGGCATGGTCTCTGCCTGCGGGACCGGCGGCTCAGCGCCCGGTGGGAGAAGCCTGAAGGGGAGGCGAAGGGAACGGACAGGTCGTTTCGCAGACCGGCCCCCGGACCGCGCGTCCCCCTGGCCGGTGCCCGGGAGAACTGGGGAGGGGCCCGGCAGAACTGGGGAGGACC